GGATTTGTTTGAGATGTCACACTAGTCTGTGAGCACTTTGATGCTTTCATTGAGTTGAACGTCTCCTGAAATAATCCTCCTCATTTTATTTCCTTTCTCCCTTTTTATTAGAACCGGACTACCCAGATAACTAAAAGTGACTATTGGTGTTTCCTCCCAGGTTCCAGAGGTTCTCCCACCCTGAGTCGGACGTTTAATTGAAGGATGAAGGAGCCATAAATTGACCGTTTATGGAGAAGAATGTGGAGCATCGCTTGTTGATCCAGAGCAATATTCACCCATAAACCTGAAGAGAGAAACAAATACATAAAAGAGAAAACTAAATCATTTACCACAAACTACTTTGACTCCATTTTGATAAACATGTGTTAGTGAGTTCCTAGAAGTTAATGTAAGAGCTTTGAATATCAGACTTTATCTGAGGAGCTGATGTGAAGCTTTCTGTGTCTTTCTCTTAATAATCTCACGTCTCACGGAACCAAACTGCACCTTTGTTGTAGAAAAAGTCAAAGACTTCTTTACATGAGAAGCTCCTTGTGCTCACACTGAGGGCAGCTTTGTGGAACAGCAGCTGTGAATAGTTCATGTCCACGTGGAGCAACTCACTGTGTGCAGGACGCCGACTTCAAGGTTTAGGGTTCAGTTCCTCAGAGAGCTCACAGCCGTCAGAAGAAGAAGAAGCTGAAGAGCGTTGGGCTGAAATAGAAAGCAAAGAGAATTTTAGTGTTTAGTGTTCTAACAGCTTCCTCCCAGCAGATACAATCTCAGTTTTTTAACCTATTTCTTCTACTATAAGTTAAAATGACTTTCAACAACAGCCTGAAGAATGTGTACTACGTTTAAGTGTCTCAAGTGCAAAACAATCACAGAATTGTCTAAAAGTAAAATGGCACTAAACAATGAATGCAGAATAAAAGCAAATATGGTTTTATAAGTGTGACTGGTGAAAGTTGCTTCAGTGTCTCATTCTGGATAAAAGCATCAACTCAAAGCCTAAAATCAAATGCTCCTCAACACTGTGTTCACTACACCCGGCAGAGGGAGGAAAAGGAAGCGGCAGTGAAAGCAGCACAGGAACGACTCCTTGGCGAAGAGGAGGAAAAGAGACAGGCTGCTCTCCTCACTCGATCTCGCTCTCCAGGAGCAACCGGGAGGGGACACTTCTGCCATCAACAAACTGATTGCAGAGCAACCATCTACATCAGATGTTGTTTCCCCCTCTTTCGACCCAGAGGGAGTTCCCCCGAATGCAAAATCTGTGCTCCAAACCCCAATGATTCAAGTACCAGGACACTCAGGTCCCATACTTGTTTTCCGGCCTTGGACTGATACGGACATTAGAGCTGCAATGGCTCATCTCCCGCCGATACAGCACTCGGGAAGACTGTTTGCTGAAGCATTCATGGACTTCTGTAAGCAATTCCTGCCCAACTTTGCTGAAATTCGACGTGTTCTAATGAGTCACGTGGGTCCGACTCACTACCAAAAGCTCAACCAGCTGGTTGCAGGAGACACCAGTGCGGCCGATGTTGAATGGAGTTCAAATCAAAATAACAGAGAATGTCCACAAATTGCACCTCGTAGAGGATGGGGGCGTGAACTGGCCTAGACGAGAGAAGGGGGGGCAACGCACTTTCCGATTGACGTGAGG